TTTATTTACTTGCGCATATGTGTATATGTATGTGTATTTAAATATACATAATAAATATACACAGTACGCACATTTTGTAAACAAACTTTTATTTTGGATGTGATTTAATCACGATTAATCGTTTGACGGCACTAATTTTCATCAGTGTTACTAACATGAATTGGTTGTTTGTTTTTAGACCTGAAGATGGCACATGAGCAGCAAAAGAAGTCAATGGAAGAGGAATTTAAGAAGCTCAGACTCTCACTACAGGTACTGTATGTCCTCACTTTTAATGCCATCATGCATTGTACATTGTTTTTACCCTTTTATTTATAATGGCATGTGTAAGGGTGTGAGTTCCTGTGCTGTGTTTAGGATCAGGTGGACACCTTGACATTTCAGAACCGTGCTCTGCGAGACCGGGCCAAGCGCTTTGAAGAAGCACTGCGCAGAAGCACAGATGAGCAAATGGTGGTACTGTTCTTGATATTCTTTTGTGTGTGTGTGTGTGTGTGTGTGTGTGTGTGGCCGGCCAGTGGTATTAAAAGAAAAATCATCCCCAGAAAATTCTGTCATAATTTGATCCTCTGTGTTCCACAAAAGAAAGATGAGGGTGAGTGAATATAACCAGCTCTTTAAATTCTGGACATCCTGGGATGCTTTTTAAACCGTACCGAAACATGCTGGACACAAGTTTACTGCTTTGTAGTTAATTTATATTTCATAATGGAATTATAATGAAAAATAAATTCAGTTAATTATATGGATAGTTCTGGAATGTAGATACAGTATGTAGTAGTTTGCATCTGTTTTCTGTTTGCATGTGGACAGGATGCTCTTGCTCCGTATCAGCATATCGAAGAGGACTTGAAGAGTCTTAAAGAGGTTCTGGAGATGAAGAATCAACAGATTCATCAACAGGAGCTCAAAATTTCAGAGCTGGAAAAAATGGTAAATTATATTAACAAACATTGCAAAATAACGTTAATGATAGCTTTAAATATTAAAGACACAATGAAAGTGGAGTTTTGTGGCATTCATTCCCTGTACTCCTAAACAAAGTTTGCTTTGTCAGATATGCACATTTATACTACAAGGCTGTTGAAGCGCTTGAATCTGTTTGGTTGAAAAACATTATTTTCAGGGAAACGCACAGCTAAAGTAGTTCCATGTCCATATCACGTCGCCAAATGATTTCAGTTACTTAAAGTCCTTACAGCCTACAGTAGCAAAAGAACCAAAACCTGCAATGACATGGACCAAGCAAATAACAAGAAGATAAAAATGACAAATTATTTCCATGTTTTTGTCACAAAATTGGACCAATGGTGGTTCGACGGTTTTTACCGGAAACTGTTTTGAACTTCATTTTGGCCTGATTTTGTTTGACATTACATCAAACCAGTTCGTTCTTTGATTGCACTTGAAGTATATCTAGGACTTTATACTTGTATAAAAACTTATACTGGCACCTGTGTGTGGATGTGTTATCAAACAAAACCAAGGTTTTCATTTACTTGTGCCTTTAGGAATTAAAAATGTCCTATATGCAGTTGTATTTGTCAACCATAAAAGGTATCCAGTAACAACCGAGAGTTACCAAGACACATTTGTTGGCCACAAGGCAACTTGCCTGCAGAATAAAACCATTTTAGGCCTCTAATATGACTTGATTCTCCATCTTATTTTAATGTACATAATGATGAATAAAGCTAACGTGCTCCTTTGAAATTAGAAAGTTTTTCGGTGATTTTCGTGTCATGTTTTTACACAGGCCCAAAAGAATGTTATGTTGGAGGAGCGTATTCGGGTGTTACAGCAGCAAAATGAAGACCTGAAGGACAGGATTGACCGCAACCTTGCCATGTCCAGGTCTTTATAAAACATTTCTAGTTTTATACTATTAAAGGCACATTAGTTTGGGAGGATTTCGATACTACACTCTTAAAAATTGGTTCTTTATTGGCACTGATGGTTCCATGAAGAACCTTTTCATTGCACAAAAGGTTTTTTATAGTGAAAAAAAGTTTAGATTATTAATGTTCTTCACACTAAATGTTCTTTGAAGAACTGTTTCCTGAAAGGTTCTTTGGCATCGCTGTGAAAACCACCTTATAAACCTTTAGTTTTAAGAGTGTATGACCCTTTTAAAGCTACAGAAGAATGCTCAGTAGTTGTTTCCTCTATTCTACTAGACAACTGTCCGAGGAAAATGCCAACCTGCAGGTGAACGTTGAGAAAGAGAGCAACGAGAAGAAACGACTGAGTCGCACCAATGAAGAGCTGCTGTGGCGTCTTCAATCGGACGAGTTGAGTCCTCGAATGTCTCCCACCCAGTCGCCCCTTCATCGACCAGCCTCTAGTCCAGCTTCACCCTCCCCACAACAGCCCTAGATGAGTGTCCAGTTCTCCGTCTCTCACACTATTTTTTTTCCTTTCTTTATCTTTAACTCATGTTTCTCATTGTGGATTCTGATTGGATGGAACAGAGGATGTTCTCACACCTCTGATGTCATAGATGGTGTTCATAGCGCTTTCAGTTTCATCATGCCAATGTTACTGTATTAGTTAGTTGATACAGTGGTCAGGGTTTGAGTTGGAGCGTGACTGAACAAAATAGTTGAAGGCATGTACGTAATTATGTAAATAGTTCACCCAAAAATGTAACATTCTATCATTTACTTATTCTGAACCTGCATGACTGACTTATGTGGAGCATAAAAGGAGAAATTAAAAAAAATTGTCATTGTTCTTTTTCACGCAATTACAGTGAATAGGGACTGAAGCTTTTAAGTTTTAAAAGGATGCATGAAAGTCACATTTAAGTTCATTGTTCTACTCCGCATACAGTGTGACTGGATAGTTGAATCAGTGAGTTGATCTCGAGAACTAAATCAGTCTGATTCATGAAGAATCGATCGGGTTCAAGAATCAATCAGCATTCTAAGCCAATTGTGGTTGAAAGTTCCATCTTTATCAGCGTAGTTCAACGATTCAGCATTTGCATTTGAAACTGCAGTTCTAACAAATGTTCGCAAACCGCATCATAAAGTTGTTTGGTTGGAACTACAGCCTTCAACCTGTGATTAGGATTGATTAGTACAATATATTTTCTTTTTTCTTTTTTTTTGTATAACGTAAATGAATCATGCTCTTGAGAAAAAACAAAGCAAGCTAACATGCAGTACAGTCTGTCTCTTATTCTATATATCTATATACACCGTAGTCCTCAGATGGCATGTTCGTTATATAAAGCAGTAATCTTAAATTATTTTGATCTTGAACCGATTAATTGGCAGAAGTTGTTATTGTACCACCTGCGTGCTGTCACCTAACGACCGTTATTGTTGAACTAACACGGTTCGAGCAACAGATTGCAAAAAAGTCACAACTATAGCAAAAAAGGCAATAGTTGTGACTAGCTCATGAATTCGTTAATGAATTGGACATTACTGCTTTTCTCGTGATCAATTTTGACATCTCTCCTAGGTATTTGGATTAAGTAAATGACAACAAATAAGATTTTGGTCCGTTCTTATAGTCGTTTGACTTTAGTAGACTTGCAGTGTAGCACATGCGTTTCATAGATCACTTTTATGGTGGTTTGAAAGCTTGAAAGCATCAGTCTTCATTAGATGTAATTACATGGAAAAGACAGACCAGCACATACTTCAAAATTTCTTCATCTGTGTTCCACAGAGGAAAGTCAGTCAAATGAGTTTGGAGCTTCAGTGAGAAAATGTGAGATCATTTACATGATCCTGCACTAGAGAGAACAGAAAAAGGAACATTATTCTCCCTTATTTACTTTAAGACTGTATCGTGTCCGTCACAATGTTGTGCATGATTTCACAGCCCATTTTGGAAATATACCTTGTTTGTACCTTCTGCTCTAATGGATTTGGCTTTTGGGCTTGTGCTGAGGTTTTCCGTTCGAACCGGACATCACGGCGCTTGTTCTCCAACCTTTACCTGTGGTCTCAAGCTTTTCCAAAGATTGATCAGGACAACATGTAAACCAGTTTTACTAGGAATTTGCCTTTAAAAGGAAAATCTCCCACCAGCAACCCTCTGTGCAAGCTCAATACACCGAACAGGAAGATCTTTATAGGCAAGTTTAGGATGGACCGCAGCCATTCAAATTAGGTAAATACTTTGTATGTCAACTAATAGTTATGTAGTCTAGGGGCTTAAATGTTGACACAAAGGTGGTTCCTTCACATTTTGTGACTACTATACAAGGATGCTAATAATAGCATGGACTGTAGTGTAAACAACTTGCAAAACTTCAACCTGCTGTCTTTACTTTTTTTTTTTTTTTTTTTTTTTGTGGGGGTAAAAAATCCTCATTCCCAATAGTTCAACCCAAAATATTGTCATTTAATCACGCTCCTATGGTTCAAATCTCTTATGTTGTTATTTTTGTCCTTGTGGTATACTTCAATTTTTAACACTTGTGCCATGAGCTCATTTTATGGGCACATAAAAATGTGGATCACCAAATCATAAAAAATTGGATTTAATCTTTGTCAGCTTGAGTGCCAAAAAGGATGAAAAAGCATAATAAAAATAGTCTGTACCACTTGTGCACTGTTCCAAGTCTTTTAAATCCATGATGAACTAGAGTTGTATAGAGTAGAACAGAGTATATGTTTGAGAATGAAAAGAGGATGAGTAAATAATGACCAAATGTTAATGAATTTATTTATTTTTTATGATGAACAGGAATACAACTGTAATACAAACATAAATGTCTGTCATTGGATATTTAAGGGAGGACTGTAACATGGATTGTGTTAATTAAATGTCCTAATGATTATTTTTAATTTTTTTCTCTTCTAATTTGTGTTGTACAGCTTATGTGTGATCTATGTTACAACACTTTAATGGAAAAGCATGTCTTAAAGCTGTGGTATAATTTGTTTCGTTCAAACCTCGTTAGTGTAGCTAATCACCGTTGTGATGCATTCCATAATAAAATAGTCTGTACCACTTGTGCACTGTTCCAAGTCTTTTAAATCCATGATGAACTAGAGTTGTATGGAGTAGAACAGAGTATATGTTTGAGAATGAAAAGAGGATGAGTAAATAATGACAATGTTAATGAATTTATTTATTTTTTATGATGAACAGGAATACAACTGTAATACAAACATAAATGTCTGTCATTGGATATTTAAGGGAGGACTGTAACATGGATTGTGTTAATTAAATGTCCTAATGATTATTTTTAATTTTTTTCTCTTCTAATTTGTGTTGTACAGCTTATGTGTGATCTATGTTACAACACTTTAATGGAAAAGCATGTCTTAAAGCTGTGGTATAATTTGTTTCGTTCAAACCTCGTTAGTGTAGCTAATCACCGTTGTGATGCATTCAAAAACTTTTGATGATTGTGTTGCACTTTATTGCACTTTGGGTTTAAATATTAAAAGACAATGTAAAAGCACTGTTTCTTAAAGCTGACTTTCAACTCATTTAAAAAGTACAACTTTTGAGGGAAGACAGTTTTCAAGAGTCTAGAAAAATAGTATTAACTAATGTATTATTATTGCTACTATATAATTATATTAGTATGAACTTTTTATATATATATAATTACTAATAAAATGCCTCAGAAGCCTTTTCACTTTCCAGTTATTAAATAAATAGTTCACTCAAATGAAAATTTGCTGAAAATGTACTCCCTGCATACCCCAGCGACAGCCCTGCGTGAGGCCCTCCACGATGTCGATGAGTTTGTTTCTTCATCAGAACAGATGTAGAGAACTCTATCGATCCATTAAGTCATTTTAAGTTAAAACACCTTGGATGTTAATTGATGGACTGGAGTCGTGTGGATTACTTGTGAATTATTGTGACGCTGGTCACACTTTATTAACTAAAGTGTTACTGTGATGATGTTATCAGCTGTTTTGACTCATTCTGATGGCACCCATTCACAATCGAGGATGCTAACTCATCTCGGATGGCCTGAGGATGAGTGAATTTTCAGCATGTTTTCATTTTTGGGTGAACTATTCCTTCAAAGGCTGTATTATTTCTCACTGAATTCTGTTTCACAGAGAGAGAGGGGAAAAAACATCACATTACAGCTTTTTAAAAAGACTAGAAACATGGAAATCATTCATTCTTTTTGGATGTGAAATGCTGAATGATATCAATAGGCAAGGGGAAGATAATGGTGGAGTTTCTTTCTGCTGCTATGGCGCTTAGAGTCTGGAGGTACCGCAGCTGCAGAGCTGATGGTGACTCAGAGATCACCAGAGACGCTTCCTTCAGTGCCCGCGAGGCGTTCATCTCCCCCTCAGCTGCAATCACCTACACAGCGATATAATAACACACTTGAGTCGCTTGTGTCATGTTGTGCCTGATATGGATTTTCCTCTGCATAATGTATTCCTCTGTATTTGACTCAGCTATAATATTAAACTGTAGGGCCGTAATCACTGATTTTCTCCAAATGATCCTAGAAGGCCTGTAAAGCATTGCTTTTGGGAGAAATCTCAATTCAGATGAAACGGATTACTTAAGGGAGAAGTGTGACATTTTTAATATCAAAATCATGTATAAAAATATCCCAGTTTATAAGGGGGTATGGCTGGCCTGAAAACAAAATTAAAATTTTTATATAATAATAATAATAATAATAATACAATTATTAAAACTTATGCCATAATGGGTAACAGGGTTGCAAATTTGCTTAATGTATCTCTCAACGGCAGTTAACTAGTATGGCACCAAATTTGGTTTATAGTCACTGATAAACCTTATTTTCCACATGAATCCAGAAAAAAGATCATTCTACAGTTAGTTGGCTGTGAGAGTTTCTGTAAAATAGTAGAGTATAAATAGTCTTTTTTTTTTGCAATTACATTTACAGTTACATTTAAAATCAGATACATTATATTTAAGGATCTGTTGCCATTGTGTTCAGTGTGGATTATATGTATGTGCTTAGACCATGCACTGCAACAATAGAGGTCTTCTTCAGAATACATCGGCATTGTTGAAACTAAATATTCACTATGAGTGCACTATTTTGTGCCTGTGATATTTATGCACCTAAATTCAGTGTTGGGTCCATTATTTGGACAGTATTGACTTTCATAATTAAATATTTGTACATGAATGACTGCATGAAAGTTTGTTGTGGTGGTCTCACCTTTGCACGGGCTTCTCGAGTTGCTTCAGCTTCCGCAGCCATGGCTCTCTGAAGCTGGACGGGCAGTTTAACATCCTTTATCTCCACTCGCTCCACTTTAATGCCCCATACGCTAGTGGCCTCATCCAAGGCAATCTGTCATCAAGATGATACAAAGCTGTCAGGATCTGGGAATATGATATACCCTTCTTGTGGGCAGATCTCTGGGTTTAGCTTTACAGCTGAAGCATCAGTTTAATAGCAAATAAATAATTCTGGGCTGTGTCCAAAATTGCTCCCTCTTACCATTATAAAGGGGATAGAGGGGACATCCATTAGTAGTTATGTCTGAAACCATACTGGACATCCCATATCCCATAATGCACCGTAATAAAGAGTGTACAAACAATATACACTTAGCAGCTAGAGAATACCCATGCACTGCAAGGGTTCACGGGAAATGAATTTCCACATCTATGACAAATTTAGCAGTAAACGCTTGTTTAGCAGTAAACGCTTTTTTCCCCAAAAAAAGCAATTTTGTTTAGCAGCAAGCACAATCTTAGAAAGAGCGGAAGCCCTTCTGGTGCATGAGACTTGTTTTCATTGACTCTTTTAAAAGTGAACTATATTAGAGAACTAATGTATGAAATTGGATATGTGGGCGATTTCAGACACAACACCACACTGTAAAAAATGACTGAATTTAATGGTAAAAGACTGTAAAAATGCTACAGGAAAAACCTGTTAAATGGTTAACGGTAAATTCCCCTACTATATACGGTGAAAAACTGTATTGGACATTAATTTTACGAAAGTATACCGTTTTTGGAAGTGAAAAAGACTATAATTTACAGTGAATAACTGTAAACTGGTATTCCCAGAATTCCCTGCGTTACATGTTTTTTCGTTGAAATAACTATGTTTCTTCGTTTTTTCTTATCAGTTTTGTATATTAGGGTTGTGTGTTACACCTAATGTTGTTAAATGAACATTTATTGCATTATTTCAGTTTCATGTGTGTTACCATGATCATGGTGTTTAGTGTTTGTGTGAATGACACTGTGCACCTTCTATATATGTTAATATTTAAAAGCTGCTTGTGTTAGGCTTTGGTTCATCATGTGACTTTCTCATCACCACCTGCATTTGGTGGTTATTGTATTACAAAGGTACAAAACAGATTTCAGTACTTCAATAGGTTGGTATATTAACATTATATCAGTTAATGAAATTACGGTATTTAACTGTACATTTAAGTTAAAACCATAAAACCTAAAACATTGCTACCATATTTTTTACGGTAAAAATCCGGCAACCCCAGCTGCCGTTTTTTTACCATAACTTTTACGGATTTTTTTTTTTACAGTGCATAATGTTACAAAAGCACAATAAAATTAGCATATTCTGATGCTATAAAATAACTTTGGATGAGGAACATACCAAAATAACTGAATTATTATTAGTGAATTTAAATGATTAGGTTCTCTAATTCAACTCACTGTTTCAGCAATCGAGTTGCAGCAGTTTGTGAACTCACTGCTGTATGTTCTGATGAACATAATGAAATTATGTTCATCACAAAAACCAACCGTGTAACTTCTAAAGGTCTGTAATATTATGCATAAATCCAATCGACTACTTTGTGATATGTTTTGCATCTTTTTGTCCCTTTGGAAGTTACCAGATGTGGTCAGAATGAACCGTCGTTGTACGGAAAGGAGCTGCATTCTATGGAAGCCCAAACTTGCAGAAATTAAAAACAAACAAATAAATAAATGTATTCAATATATTCATTCCCCCATTGGGTGCCCTTTCTGGTCAGGGCCACTGAAATTGTCCTAAGCTTCCCCCAGTTACGGTGCCCCCTGTACTGCTGCTCTGAGAGTTCATGTACCTGCATGTTGTTTGAGATGCCCTCTCTGTCAGACAGCAGCTCTGACAGGCTCTTTGTGCCCAGGACATTTCGCAGGGTAGTCTGTGCCAGCAGCTGTGTTGCATGGTCTGCATTGGCCACGTTGGCCACGGAACAGATCGGGTCAAAGACACGAAAGTACACCACACCATCCACACTTACGGTGACGGAGTCCTTTGTCAGGAACTGTTCTCACATAAACACAGATACTCATCGTTTCATATACTGATCCAAAACTTTACATTATGTATTCAGATTTAGCTTGCCAAATCTTGTTTATTTAACAATCTATTGGTATGCCGGTTTAATCTGGCAAACTTTGTATTGTCATAAGAGCTATGAAAAATGTTTTTTTGTTCATTAAATTAAAGCTGAAGTAAAATAAAACATTAAAATTAGATGAAAAACTTGAAATTTTAAATAATTGTAAATATTTTAAATGTTCACTATACATATAGTTATGTGTATATATTATATTTATTTTAATATTTAAAATAAAATGAAAATTTTTAAACAAATTAAAATGAAAGCTAATGAAAAATATTTTTAAAATGCTCTAATAGTATGTACATTATATCATTAATAATATAATATATAATACGTACCTCTTGAGCAGGAATATCAAATGTCACCGTTCTCAAGTCCACCTTCCTGAATGTATCAGTACATGGCAGCACAAAGAAAATTCCTATAATATGTATGAATTATATACAAATGTAGACAGTTATATATTTAAATCAATTAAAATGAGGGATGCACTTTATTAATAACATTAAATTATAACAAAAAACAGTATTTAAATGAGAAACTTTGTCATACCAGGTCCTTTTGGTTTCTTGTCCACAATACGACCTAATCGAAAGATCACAGCCCTTTCATACTCCTTCACAATCTAAGAGTGGAGTACATTGTACATACAGTCATCATTTACATAGATGATAATTACTGTATTGAACAATACATTGATTGTCTGTGGAAAATCTACCTTGATGCACATAAACATGGTAACAGGAAACAATCCTATAGTGATAATGATAGCGATAAAGATAATGAACCAGCCAAAGCATCCCAGCGAGGGAGGTTTATCATCTGTAAGACATGGAGCCAACATGAATTATGCTTGAATATGGTACACTTTGTTGTCCCATGACTGTTTTTTAAAAACATAAGAGACACACATCCCACATTCCTTTTCTAAAAACTATTAGATATCACTTCAGCTGCATTAATATTGATCCATTTTTAAATGAACTAATTTATGTTACCAAAGCATAATATTTATTTGTCTGCTATTTCTACTAACTTGTAACATTTTACAATCATGTCACTACTTACTACGTTTCCCCAAAATCAATAAATTTTGACATTTTTCTTCACCATTATGGAAAGACACAACCCAGTCTCACGGGGTTGAAAGACAAGAATCAGTTTTCACAATTCAATTTTCATATTGCAATTAGTCGGCTCAGCCTTCATTCCTGTTACTTAAAAAAAATTGCCACAAAATGTAATGTGCAACATGTAAACATTATTAAAGAAGCCTTTTGAAATCTGATTGTGAAAGTTGTAATACATGCAAACCAGACATGAAAAATGCAAAATGCCCTGATATTATTTAATCAGTGGGATATTACATTTCTTTTTAACTGTAGACTGAATGTCAGGTAAACATATCAAATACCACTGAGACACTTCTACTGACTTAACGATCATGCTTAACTGTACGTTTCACTCTCCTTATGAACTTAGTCATGAAAGACTGAACTTAGGGTAAAACTGTTGCCATGTGGCATTGTTATTATACAATATATTTTTTTTTCGATTTTATTGCCATTTTTCAAGTTACAGTTTAAAAAATTGTAATATTTATTTTGAATATTTAGTTCAAGAGTACCTTGGCATACCTTGTATTATATGTCTGCTACTCTCAGTCTCCTGGTTTTGGACCCTGATTACGGTGGTCATTTTGAAGAGCGCTACAAACTTGAGATGTGTTGCTGCAGACAGCAGGTAACAGGAGCTTGTAATATGTGCTCACCTTCCCATAAGGGTGTGTCCTGCTTCCCATTAGACCAGGTGCATGCAGAGCAAAACTGGATGAGAGGAAAATTCTGACTCATTTCATATCAGATGTGAATACCATCAACCTGTATATTATGAGGGGCAAAATAAATTATCAAAATATTTTATTTGTTCAGAGTTTTGCAGGCAGTTTTTTTTTTGGATCAAATATTGTTATAGCTGTAGTAGGACATTTATAATTCAAAGATTTCTGGATATGGCAGTGGAAATATGAGCTGTGAAATCACACGACAAATGCTGATATATGACTAGATATAACCTGTGTGTTGTGTTCTCTAAACTGAAATTCCAGTAACATATTATTGCTGTAGCTATTGGTTGAAGCTAGACCTTGTGAACACTTTTAGCCCCTTTTGACAGATGTTTGCTCCTCTGACTTTGATTGTGGAAAATATTGTATGTATGCAATTTCCCACAAAATCTGTCTGGATAGATCTAAATTGTTTCATTTTATCAAAGTCTATTTCGGTACTTTGGAAGCCTGTTTCCACCACAGAATAAAAAATTAAAAAGGTAATTGGGACTTTTTATCTCACAATTCGGACTTTTTTTTCTCAGAATTGCGTGATATAAACTCGCAATTGCGAGTTAAAAAGTCATAATTGTAAGATATAAACTCACAATTCTGAGAAATAAAGTCAGAATGGCGTAATATATATTTGCAATTGCGAGACAAAGTCAGAATTGCAAGACGCGGATGATTGTGGAAAATATTGTATGTATGCAATTTCCCACAAAATCTGTCTGGATAGATCTAAATTGTTTCATTTTATCAAAGTCTATTTCGGTACTTTGGAAGCCTGTTTCCACCACAGAATAAAAAATTAAAAAGGTAATTGGGACTTTTTATCTCACAATTCTGACTTTTTTTTCTCAGAATTGCGTGATATAAACTCGCAATTGCGAGTTAAAAAGTCATAATTGTAAGATATAAACTCACAATTCTGAGAAATAAAGTCAGAATGGCGTAATATATATTTGCAATTGCGAGACAAAGTCAGAATTGCAAGAAAAAAAGTCAGAATTGTGAGATTAAAAAGTCGCAATAATTTATATATATATATATATATTTATTTTTATTTTTTTATTATCTATTATTATTTTTTTTATTCAGTGCCGGAAACGGGCTTCCATAAGGTACAGACATGGTTTGTAATTTTTTATTTGTTTGGCATGTTGGGGCAGGTTGTCACATGTATTTTATATATACACTATTTTAACTGAAATTTCAGTTTGCCAAAACCATGGTTTGATGTTTCTTGTAATATCACATTTACATTTTCTTTGTCATTCATCTACGTTTCTTTCATAAAGTTTGTATACCTTTGGTAGATTGTATATTTTATAATCTCTAGTTAGAAAAAAAAAAAACAGAACTGCACACATCCCGCGGAAGAACATTCCAACCGGAGCTACTTCTCTAAGTTTATGTCTCTGGCGATTCACGCAGGTATGTGTTACTCCGCAGCGGTGACCAGGCTACAATAGTCCAAATAGAAGTACTTATTATAAGTGTACCGTAGTGATTCGGAATAAGACAAAAACGTGGTTTGGGAGATGAATTCATAATGTACTCGCTCATTTTATACATTTTGCAAATTTTGAACACAGAAAAAGTTACATAGTGCTGCTTTAATAACATATAGAAATGAATTAATATTGAAAGTATTACTAAATATGTAAATAATTCAAAATATTTCAAACAGCCCACACATTTGTCAAGCATAGGCCTTTTCAGCCTTCAAAGTAGTTCAGATATGTGTATACCAAGACCTCATTAATAAGGCAACAGTGCAGAGCTTTGGGTCTTGAGAGTCACATGTAATCAAGAGCAACTCACCATAGAGACAGGTAGACAGTGTTTATGGCAAGCCCTTTTGACTTTTATTCATTCTCAGGATATGAATTCTTGATATCAACAATTCAATTTTTACTAGTAACAATGTTAATTCTTGATATCAACAATGACATCATCACTCGCAGAAATTGAATTTTTGATATCAGCAATTAAATTTCTACTAGTAAAAAATATTATTCTTGATATCAATAATTTATGTCCTGGGAATGTCTCTTCTTGATATCAACAATTTAATTCTTGATATCAACTATTTAATTGCCACTAGTGACGATGTTAATTTCTGATATCATGAATGTGATTGTTACTAGTAAAAAAGCCATTTTAGATATCAGAAATTATATTGATATCACAAATATATTTTTAGATATCAAAAATAACAAATCTAACATGTTGAAATTAATTTACAGATATCAAGAATTAACATTTCAACTAGTAACAACTGAATTCTTTATATCAAGAATTCACATTTTTACTAGTAACAAAGTAATTATTATTATCTGAAATTTCCCTTGCAACTAGTGAAAATTTCATTGCTGATATCTTAAATAACATTTTAACTAGTAAAAATACTTTTACAGATATGTAGAAATGCCATTTTTACAGGTAAGAATAGCTATGGTAATGAGATCATGAATATTAATGAGATCTGGTTTTCCCACAATCCTCGTTTTAGCGTCAACATTGCGCAGAAACGGCTCCACCTTTATTTATTGGCTTTGTCAATGAAACATGAAAATTATATTATGGCTGGATTAA